GGGGGGGGGATTAGGACACGTAGTGGAATATGCTTTTATGCATGCTACATTCATTTTTATTTTACTGTATTTAGAAGTTTTGTTCATTTATATCTGTAGATTTTCCTAATTTGTATCATTGTTTTACTCATTGCGGAAAAACCCGCTTATCAAATTGCAGGCTTCTTGAATTTCCCGAAAAATTGAACTGGTGATTAGGAGGTCGTCTACTTCAACTTACCTGAGGTCCAACTTACCGTTCTGCAGATAGAGAAGTATAGTCCGCGGCGCTTCGCGCCGCGCACACCTTCACTTTACATGCGGAACAACTTACTCCCAGCGGCCGCGGGAAACAACTTTGACCACATTTTTCACTTTACACTTACTTCTAAAAATTTCCTTCAGTCTATCCTATTTACCCACCCCACAAAACTCTTTAACCACCGTTTTTGCAGGACAAATGCTGGGACTAGGCGTATATGAGTGGGCCTACATAAACTACTCTTGCCCAAATCTGAATATGACTCTTTTACGAGCTGTAGTGGCATTTGTTTCCACCTAGATACCAGTTGGCACCACCTTTAAATAAACAATTTGTTTATGCATGTTCAAAGCTCTTTGTCGGGACCATGGGTAGGAAAATTTCAGTCGGCTAGTGGTTAAGTGCAAGCGTACCCAAACTAGCCATACGAGTTTAGAATTCACTGCTAAAATAACGTGATCAATATTTACAGCTAAGATATTTAGAGAATGTATTTTATTTGCTTTCATGAGGATCTTAAAAAGACACATATTGGATTGCATGATAGAATTATCTACCCATGGTTGTACGAGCCTCGAAACCTGGTGCTTAAGAATTAATCAATCAGGCAATCTATTAAACTGTCTACTGTCTTGCCCAATGAAAATGCAACGCTAATAAGCATTGTTAGAAAGCGAACTCTACCTTCTCTAAACTAATCACCTTACTTTAACAAAATAATGCATTATCTTCTAATTCGGTATTCACATAAGCCGCTACCGCCCAGAACAGGCTTTAACTAAATACTGAAAACAGTCATGATTATTTAAAACTCGTTGTGCGTGCTGAGATGCGTTGTGTGGATTTAAAGGCGTCCCTGGAAAATCTACGTTCCACATTGTAATGACCGTCATAATCAAAGGGATTAATTAAGTAACGTTTACGGCTGGTGTGCATGCAGAGTTTATGACGTGCCTTTTTTAAGCCTAACTCACAGGTGGCACAGAAGGAGGCTATTTTAAAGTGCTTACGTTGTAAAAAACCATGGGCCACACGAGCAGCGGCGTAAGAGCGCACATCGCCCTTGCTAAATTATTGGTTTTAGCAGTCGAATGCGAATTAAGTGAGCCGAGTGATACAAAGTCAGCTAACGGTACTTATTTTCCGGTTGCGAGCTGATCGATCAGGTTGACCTTTTGGTCAGACTTTATCTATGAGAAGAATTCCGTTGCGCAGTGCGTTGGAGCCTTGGATTTGCGTATTGCTGGTTAATGACCGATAAAAAGCCAGAAATGGCCGTTTCAATTTCCCTTGACTTTGTTAATGATTTCATTCTGTCTATGTTCTCAACTATATCAATTTGTTAAGTGTAGGTTTCAGTTTAAGTCAGAAAAGATAAGTTCAGTCGTTAGGAATACGCAGTTGTGAACCTGTTAGGGTAAATAATGCGTACGGAAACACTTGTCGACATTTTCTTGTTTTAAAGAGTGATTCGTGGCAGTATTGGACATTCCGTCATAGCAGACTTCTTTGCTTTTTAACCTTCACGCAAGTAAAAGTTGCCATCCTCTAAAATAACAGCAGTTCGGTGTGTTTCTTTGTTTATAAACCGCCCCATATCCATATGCAAAATAAAAAAAAGTGTCTATCTCAAAAATTTACCTACAGACTCTGATAATTACCCCAACCGGCTTTTGAGATACGATGGATGTGGTTAATACACTAACATCCACTGCTGGTACTAATACGGCATAAGAAGTCGGAGAGGGTGATGAATTTTATTAAATTAAGCTATATTAGAGAATTGGATCTGAAGGACCGTTGCACATGCTTTATAAAATGTAGTCCGCCTTTAACTACTTCACAGTCTGTGAACTAAGCGGTTTCCGGTAGAAAAGAGTGGCTTAGCACAAAAATGAAGACAAAGGACATTGAGGAAATAAAAATTCACTGGCAACGAAATCAAACAGTTATTATGATGACATGTGCCAAGGATCTAACTTAAAAACTGGATTTCTAAGCTACACCATCGATGAAATATAACATAATGATGCATGGAGCTCCCCTCGCAGCGGTGGCTCCTGAGCTGAATGTGCACAGAAAAAGGATAACTACCTAATCACTGCAGCTACTTTGAAATTAAAGGCGACCCTTGTTATCGTTTCTTCGCCAGATACATTGAAAACTATAATTAATTTAAATAACTTATCTTTGCATAATATAAGGGTCGCAGAAGTGTCTTTGCCATCTTTCCTGACAATTAAAAAATAAAATAATTCAACTTACGATCAGCAAAAAACCATCTTATTTCAAATGTTTACCCCATTTTAGAAGAACTATCGTTATCCATCCAACTCGGCCGCAAAGATTTGTACTAACAGTAAATTAACCAGAAACCTCAGGCGGATAAGGTAATTTTCGTCTGTAGTTCATTATTTTTTCCCCAATAAAGGCAGCCCACTCGGCACTAAAAAGATTGTTTATTTATTTGCGTTGTAAATCCGACTGAGCCATGTAGGTGACGGTTCAGTTCCCATAAACTCTAGCAGAATTTAACTCCGGATTAGAATCATCCACTAATGCCTTGCTTCAAAACAACTTGTTGAGGCATAGTAGCCAAAAAGTCAAATTGCCTCCCATAAACAAAACATTTACGAAGTAAAGGGCTTAGACTTCTTGTTCTTAGTATACAGTGTAATTTGGTTGACAGATGGCATAGTTACCCAGCGATCACAGTGTTTTCATCATATCTCTAAAAGTGAACTAACGACTGCTCGCAAGGTGGTATTTTTTCCAATATATATAAACGTGTTTAAATTTCGCCTTTTCTAGACGAATTAATAATATAGCATGCGAAAATGCAAGAACAATCGCTGAAAAGCGAAATAGAAATGATGACCTTAAAACTTATCAAGAGAAATCATATGCAGGAAGCTGGTTTCTTTTGTTCTGTGATCACATAAATAAGGTCAAAGAGGGAAAAATCGTGACGAGTTAACAAAAAATCATGTGACAATATTTATAGCTGCTCAAATTAGGTATGGGAAGTTCAGTCGTGAAAAGCGTTTTGCGACAGGGTGAA